CAGTTTAAATTTGAAGAATGTCCATGTCTTCAGTTTTCATTATTTATTGAATTATCTCTACAATCATAATTTGTATTCTTGGTGTTGAATTTAGGGACTTCTTCCATTGACCAAACTGTGTGCTATGGTGACTATGCAGAAGATAGGAGGATCCAGTATGCAATCATATTCATTACCTCTGATAAGTCACATAGCAGACCAACAACATCCAACACAAGAACTCAAAGATAAGGTATAATATAAATAAAACAGTTTACTTGTCATGCTACTAGACACCACATAGCACACATTTGTTGATACACTGCATGACATTAATAACAAGCTTTGACTGATTTTCTATCACATGCTTCAACGTTCTATGCATGTGTCAGTTCTATTTAGTAAATTGATAAACCCAAGTGACTTTAACTTGTGGCTATTCTGCCATTATTTTTCAGTATCTTATTCTCGTGATGTATTGTTAGTCTGCAGGTAATGGATTCATTGATATAACAATCAAATATCAGTCATTGTCTGCTGGGAAATCAGAAGGTCTCAAGTATTCACCTGCTAGTGAGGCTGCAAATCAAGAAGTTGGATCTCAAATCTGTATATCCATTTCTGTGCTTAGAGCTTGTGGTCTTAAAGTAGGTATTATTATTTTCTGTTTTGGGAATACTACTCCCCTTCATGTCAATTTGGTACAAAAAATAATAATAATGAAAAAGAACATTCTCTGAGTTTAAAAAATTTGGTTTGTTCATACAAATATATATTTTGAAATGAAAATTACCGTTTTGATTACTGCTTCATCTCAGTGACTTCATAAGTTGTTACTTCAAAGACTTTAAGAAGACATTAATGACTTGTTTGTAACCACCCTTCCACCCACGAAAAATTATCCAAATTACATCTTTCGTTCACAGTGCCGGTCTTGGAGAAATATTACAAAATAAGTCATCATTGATTTCCATGACTCGTTTTACAATAAGGAAACAAATATGTTCATAAAAATACACACATTTTATTACAATACGGTTCACATACCATCTGAATTTATGGTGCAAAAATGGGTAGGGTCTGTGGGAAAACGGTCGAAGTCAAGATCTTTATAATTATCTTCATTGTGGAATGTTTTCATTCGTACGTAAACTCTCGATACAAGGCAATTTCCGCCATGAAGTCTTCATCATGATTTGACCTGAAACAACTTCCTTTGACCTAACAGGTCACGTCTTTCATTATCTGAGGGTGGAGGAAGTATTTAAACCTTTCATGGTCGCCAGCAAGTCATGTCGAAGAATAGTTTGCTCATTTACGATAGTCTCAATGGACACGATTATTCAGAAAAGTAAAACAATTTTCTATGACCGGGTCTCACGACTTGATGATCACATTTTGGCGTTTTGAAAACTACTACTCAAACGAAATATGGATTACTTCAGTATTGCAACATCGGTGTTCATCCTGAGTAAATAACAGAATAAAAAAGGTGCTACCCATGTTCCATACATTCGCCCACCATGCACTCTGAAATTAATGTGAGTTTTCTCGCAAAAGCAGGAGCCAAACTACCATACCAATCATGATTTGTATGCAATGTACGTGCATGTTTCAATAAATGTCATTGATGCCCGGTAAAAACACCCTGGGAGTCAGGGGATGCCCTCAGTTCGTTAAATGTCTAAAAACAAAGGATGGGCATATACTCGGGAGGGGTTTATGATAGGGGAAGTATGGTAATTCTTTAAGCTTCAGCATTAAACACACAATTGAGACTATGTATTTTTAGTCTGGTTATTTGCTCTTAGTTATGTGCATCTCTATATGATCTTAGCATATACATTATGAAGTGGAACTTGGTATTCTTGATAAGCAAAGTTCTCTCCAAACCAGTAGATATATATCTGAAATATGTTTAGATATCATGTTAACAAATATTTCTACAAAATTCAATGAGAAAAAGTGTGCAATGAATTTGTTTCTCTAAACTACTATGTTTCATGGAATGTACCAATAGTGTTCCTATCAAATAACCTGTGTGTATTTTCTATTTGTAGACTGCAGCTAAACTGGCAGCAAAGCAGGACTCAAGAATACAGTATGCATCAGATGTGGGCATCAATGCTTATGTTAAAGTCAATTTGTCTTTTCACAACAAAGAAGTGAGTCATTGATACTTTTTATATTCATTTGGGAGACAATTGAATCTTGGCTGGCCATCAATATAACTTTTTGTACTTCTTTTTTAATAAACTATTTATTTATAAAATTATATTACTCTTGTCTTACTGATTGTATTAATGTTACTGATTGTATAACTTATTGCTGATATTATTGATTTCATTACTGATTATAATACTACATGTAATTGTATTATTGATATTTCTGATATCTTAATTCTTTCTGCAGAGTGAGAGAATTACAAGGACAGTTGCCAGATCATTTGCTCCTGATTTCTCTCATCACATGGATTTTCCATGCTCATTGCTATGCAGGGAAACTGGTCTCAGTTTGGCTGAACTGATGGAAACAGGACAAGTTACGTTACAAGTATGGCATCAGGTCACAGTACTCAGATCAGGTTAGTATACATTTATATTGTCACTAATGAAACCAACAGCTTTCAGTTTAATTCCAGAAAATGTTCTTTCTTCTCCCAGACAATAATAGATATTCGCTGATCTTTTGGAAAATGTTGTAATTAATGAAAATTCAAGTAAGGGTGAAAATACATGTGTTTCTGTAGTGTGTAAATTGGCATCTTTATTCAGAAGAACTGATATTACTTACTGTGCTCATCTTTATGTATTATTCCTACAACAGAACATGATGTACCAATATCTCAACATAGTAACATATTTGGTAGTCCTAATGATGTGTTACTGGCCTCTACAGCTGTACCATTACAAGATTTATTATCTAATAGAACTGGTATGTTGACGTTACTCACAATCTTCTTGCTATTCTTATGTCTGATTGTCTCATTGCTTTATCACATGAAAATATCCATGCAAATCCATACAAATAAACTTTACAAAAGTCTGGTGAATACTCTCAGCAGAACAAAGGCATTCCCTTCATCTTTATAAATATTTATAAACTTCATAATTCAAACTCTGATTTCTGTTGGCCAATTGATTTTTTTTTTATGATGTTGTTGCACACTGTACTCATTGATTGGCTGGTTGGATTCACTTGCCAAGATGAAGGGAATGCCTTTGTTGACTATACAATGTAAGTAAGCACTTTGCGTATATTGAAAGTTTTGATACATACTAAAAAAACATAACTACCTTTACTTAGCATGTCATACTAAATGGTCAGACCATCTAAATTAATTTTTTTTTAAATTCTTTTGATCAGTAAAACATTTTTACCCCAACCACACCTCAATAGTTACATGTACATGTATGTGTCGTATGAGACACATGAATCCTGAATTTGAAAAATAATTTTGAAAAATTATCAACATTAGATTACAGAAAGTTTGAATTCACTATGTTCAATTACCCACCATAGACTCCGGTCAGTCAAATTGACTATTTTGAACTGTAGGCATTAATCAGCGATTCTGCCGATGGCGGAGAGATAGAATCTAGGTCAGGGGAAGCCTCATGACCCCAAGATTCTCTTTCCCTTACGTCACGAACCACGTGACCGAGG